CATAGTAGGTTCGCCTGGTTTGTTCCTGTTTGGCTGTGACACCATCCTGGAGAGAAATACCAGCTGTGCTGCTGTCAACACCTTTGTTTATAGATGTTTGAGATTGGCCTGTTTTTCAGTGTAGTCCTGTGTCTCTGACTGTGACTGGCTGGATGTGTTCTCTTCATCCTCTGACATGGGAGCTGGTCTGCCTGGCTGTGTGTTTCCTGGAGGGGGCCACCTTTTACAGATACTTTTTCTATGTCTGCTTCTGTCTCCTTGAACCCCAGTCGGCCTCAGCAGATGGCCGCTCACACTGAGCCTGGTTCTGCTGGAGGTTTCTTCCTGTTAAAAGGGAGTTTTTCCTCTCCACTGTTGTTACAAGCATGCTTAGTGTGAGGGGTTGCCTTCGAGTCAATGAGTTGATGCAATCAACTGGTTTTCCTTAGATAGAAAACTCTGAATCAATTTGACTGGATGATCCGGTGAACTGTAAAGTGCCTTCATGACGTGTTGTGAATTAGCACTATATAAATAAAATGAATTGAAGTTGAGTAAATGACCACTGTCTGCTTTATAGATGATTAATGGACAAAATATTGAAATGTTATCATTATAGTTTTGTTTTACAACTATGCACTACTTTATATTTGTCTTCCATTTCCAGCAGAGTAAAAGAGGGTTACATCCTGAACAGGTTCCTATTACTTTGTAAAATGCATCGACTTTTGTGCTTGTACTGTGGCAAAGCATTGGAATTTACGAAGGGTGGGAATACTTTGCAGACTGACCACAATGTACCCAACTTCTGATGGCTACTTTCAGCAGGATAATGCGCCATGTCATAAAGCTGGAATCATCTCAGACTGGTTTCTTGAACATGACAATGAGTTCACTGTACTCAAATGGCCTCCACAGTCACCAGATCTCAATCCAATAGAGCATCTTTGGGATGTGGTGGAACGGGAGATTCGCATCATGGATGTGCAGCCGACAAATCTGCGGCAACTGTGTGATGCCATCATGTCAATATGGACCAAACTCCCTGAGGAATGCTTCCAGCACCTTGTTGAATCTATGCCACCAAGAATTGAGGCAGTTCTGAAGGCAAACGGGGGTCCAACCCGTTACTAGCATGGGGTACCTAATAAAGTGGCCGGTGAGTGTATATATATATATATATATATATATATATATATTTATTTTAATTTTATTTTTATTATTTATTAATTTTTAATTGGAGGGGGTGGGGGTGTCATTGTAAGATTAAAATTTCTTAATGCACTAGTTTGCACAAACTACAAACTATGCCGCAAACCACAAAACGCGCAAAACCATCATTTAAATAGGGCGTCTCCAACAGTTTTGCACCTGCCACCAGTTACGCAATCGCTCTTGTTAAATCACCCGCAAACCATGGTTCAGCCCCTCGCGCAAAATTCCAGTTTGCGAGCGCAAATTACTGCACGCAAAATTGGATCTTGATAAATCCGGCCCATTCTCGCGTGATTTGAAAAAGCCGCGAGATTTTCCGCCAAATGGCGTGATTTTTGTCAACCTAGAGGTAATTTTGATGTAGTTACCAAAACGACAAACAAGCTAGAAAGCGCTATCATATGGCAGTCTTCTGTACAGTGGTCATACATTAAAAAATTTTAATTTATTTTCTCTCAGACATTGGAGAGGTGCATTTAAATGTTATAGAGCTGAACATGTTAAATTGGTGACCTGTTATGTTCTTATTATTGTCTTGATGCTGCATTTATTTTGTCAGGGAAAACTAATCCTGAGTCAGTTAAAAGTCAGGGAATTCTGAAATTATGTAAGACTGTGGAAACCCTGTATAAAATAACTGTATAATGATTCTCTAGAAAAGTCACATTATATTAATATTATCTTGTATAAACATACTGTGACTCTAAAATAAGTTATTCATTTGTGACATTGACTTCTATCTTGTGATTTATCTTAAGTTTTTAACCTGTCAAGTGTTTTTTTTTTAGATTTTTAGCATTACAATTTGTATTTTTTCCCAAGCAGACAACAGTTTAAAGCAAAGTTTAGTTTGAAAAGAATGTGCAGGCAGGGTTGAAAGGCATGTTAACACGGTAATGTAGGCTTGAGTTCATTATCTGAGGCATGCATATACACACCAGGAACCTGTAAACTTAAAAAATACTGAATTACAAAAAACATTTAAAAAACAAACATGTTTCATTGATATATATACAAAAATGAATATTAGGAACTATATTTATCAAGCATTATACTGGGCAAGTAAAAATTGTTTCTGGGCAAATGAAATGTGAAAGTCACTTGCCCGAAAAATCCTTAACGTCAACCCCTGATATCTGTAAGGAAACTATTACTTGCTTCTCAGTAGCAGCTCCATTAACACAACTTCTGCCTGAATGCTTCTTCTCTTCATTTCATTTTGTTTTTTCAGCTGCTTGTTATCACCTACTATCTTTATACCTTCTTCCAAACTCTTCTTTGTTTAGCTCGGGCTCCAGTGACCTTCTCTCATGTCAGCGCTTAACAAATATAGAGACCCGGTTTCTGCAGCGACCAAATAGTCAGACAAAACAAGGGCGAATGTGTTTCTGTGCATGGGGGGGCAGCAGAGAAACGCTCCAAACGCACCTTGAAGGAAACAATCAAGGTTCCCATGCATTTCTAATCAAATAAAACCCATTCGATGGGGTTGTTGAACAGAGTAGGTTAGAGGTGGATAAGGGGAGAATGTGTCAGGTTATTCTGGGATGTTGAAATGCAGGAACTGTTTCCATGGAAACATGTGGACCCACCACTCCCTGCCATGCCTTTCTAAAGCTGCCAACGTCTGGATGCCATGTCACCAGGGGTGTTACAGCGTTCCTCGTCTTTAGTGGGTGACGCACCAGATGCCTGAGGCATGGCAGTGAGGTGTCACATACCATCAGTGACCGCTCCAAACAATTAAGGACATCATCCTTTAAACTTATTATACCAGTTTTTTAGTGGCGATTGAAGCTTTTACTTTTTGTTCTCCTTTTAAACATATATTTCCTGAGAAGAGTGGTTTCCAAAGTGAGCCTCAAGAATCCTCACGGGGGTTGGGAGACAAATTGTTTTCTTTACAATTAATGAGATGATCGCTGAGGCTTTATCCAATACATTAATTATAGTTTAATTATAGTATTGACACTGTGTAGATTTCAAATTGAACTAAACAGATTAATCTGGATTATACCAGGTTACAAAGCTAGAATGTTGAGGTTCGCTTTTCATTTGCTGGAAGGAGAATCTCAAGTGTTTCCTAGGATTTCTCCATCCAAATTTACATCGTTGCCCAGTACTTCTACCCTCTCTGAAGATGAGAGTCCACACACCATGATGCAGCCTCTGCCATGTTTCACTATGGGAATGGTGAGTTTAGGGTCATGTTTCCTGCCTCAGACTGCTTGAAATTTAAGAGTAAAATGTTTAAATCAAATTTGAGCAATACAAAGTCCTACACGATTGCTCCACTAAAGAGATTTAAACAGCATGTTTAATAATTGGATAACTCCATGAGGCAGTGGTTCCCAAATTGAAGGGTCTAGTATAATTGAATAGAACAAATGAATACATTAAAGCAGGGGTCTTCAATGTTTTACAGGCCAAGGACCCCCAAACTGATGGCAAGATGGAGCAGGGATCCACTAGTTACATAAATTGTTATATCAAACTGATCCTATAGTCACTCTTTTACAGCTGGAGTAATGTAATTAAAGTATTTTCTCCCTGGGATTATTAAATGGGACAGGTGTTGTGAATGAAACGGTGCCCAGCTAAAAAGAGCTCTTGAGTGTCGCTGAATGTGTGCCTTGAGTTTATCTGTTTACTACAGTGTGTTGAATTCATGTTAATGTGGATTTAAAGACATTTCAATTAGTGGAAAAATTGCAGGGGGGAATAAAAAAAAAAAAAAAAAAAGTCTAATCAACCAAAACTTTCGCGTCCCCCATGCAGAACCTCCATGGACCTCCTGTTGAAGACCTCCGCATTAAGGGGTATTCTTCTCTTTAATTTATTGATCACAATGTTGAATTCTGTAACAACTAAAATAAACAATTTTAGAATTAAAAGTTACTTAAAATGTTTTATATGATTAAAAGTTTCATTTTATTTATTGTACTATGTCATTTACCGAGCTTGACATTTCCTTGTGCAACTGTTGAAAATGTGGCAGGGTAATTAAAGGGGCATGGAAACCTTCGCATAAATCAAAAGGGATGGGGTGGAGGGGGGGGGGGGGGTGTCCCAAAAGAAAAGTTTGGGAACCACTGCGGTAAAGGAAACTAGTAGCACTTCCATTTGTATGGGTATGAAAATAATTACAACTGAATAGAAATGCTCATCACAGCTCTCCTTTTAATGTTCTCTAAAAAATAGGAAGCATTGTTCCTTTTTCTACTTGGTTAGAGTATCAAATAGTTCAAAATGTTAACGTGAGAAAATTCAGCGGATATGAACACTTTAGAGAGGAACTTTATATGCAGGAACGGCTTTTAAACAAAAAAAAATATCCATACAGATTTACTACCTCTTCATATAATTAAACACATTCCCAGATATTTTTGTATTATTTGCAGGAGCTATTAAAACATAAAACTCACTGAAAAACAACTTGTCAATGTTAAAAACAGGTCATTTTGCCATCATTGCATTTCATGGGCTTCATAGAGGACGGAAAGAAAGGGGGACTTTCCACAAACATGACTCACTCTGAGCACCTAAATAACATCCTGGGCTTCAGAGGAGGAGGTATTTATACACCGACGGAGAGCAGGAGAGGACAGCGTGTCTGCCCCACTTCAAGAACGGGCCAAAAATAAGTTAAGGACAAGCAAGTAAGAAAAAAAAAAGGTGAGTAAGCAGAGATGAGCTGCAGGTGCTGGAGTTCAGTCAAGGAGACACTGTACGGTTGTTCTGTTATACAATGACTTATTCCCACATTAGACCCAAGAACTATAATCCCACTTGTAATGAATTCCACATTTAACCTTTTAAATCTTTATTGTTTAACAAAACATTAATTCTGTAACAATCAAAAGAGAATTGTACATCAAATACTTTAAATCTTCTCAGAAATGATCACCTCTGTCAGCATCTAACCTTATTTCACCTTAATGCTTGATGGTGAGAAATGCAAAAAGCTTTATTCCAAAGTTTACATCTTCTTTGCTCCTATATGCTTTGAACCATTTCTGCACAAGGCTCAAGCCACGGCAAACAGCATGCACTAAACAGGTTACTGCAGGAAGCAGCTACAAGAAAGAACCCTCTCCACCTACTGGCAGAAAGATTAAAGGCAAGGAAAAATGCAGATGGAAAAGAAAACATTTAGTACATTCAAGGAGAGCTTTAGTTGTGCAAATCAGAGAGGAAGCATTTTCCATAGAGCACACTGAAAAGAACTATTATTGAGGTCAGAAAATTAAAGAAAAAAAATCTACTATATACAAATCAAATGGAAAGTCATTACGTGGCAGTGTAACGCTTAAATCAAACTCTTGTAAGTACATCTTTAGAGATCGGACACGAGGATGCTATCACAAGTGCAACTTTCTCTGCTTCAGAACAGATGTTTACAAAAGAAGCACCATAAATAACTTAAATACAAATTATTTTAAGTCCAGAAGGTAAATAAATTGGAGGGGGGGGGGTTACCTACTGCAAGCATGAGTGTTAAACACATGAACAGATTGAAACACTAAACTAAAACTTGTACCAAGCAAAACGTTACAGTTGCTCTATTCATTAGATTTACTATATCTGGAACAACATATAAGCCAACATCCATCTATTACAAATGCTTTTGTTTATTATTTTTATGAGGCTGGCGATAAATTTTAAAATAAAGCTTAGGTAAATGAGAAGCAGGTCAAACGGATACTCTGACCTGCTTTGGCTCAAACTTCTTATAGGATAATTTTTCACAGAACTATTAAAATAAAAAAAGGATCCAATTAATCCAGAAGATAACTTTTTAACTAATCCAACTCCTAAAGCTTGGTGTAAAGGGATGAGGTTAGGAATAATTATGGAGCCGTACAAAAAAATAAAAATAAAAAAACCTTCATAAGATCAAATAAAACCTCAAATTGCCAAATATGAGTGTACAACAATAAATAAATAAATAACTCTGCCTTGTCCCTCATTTAAATGAAATAGCAAAGAACATATTAGTTACAAACCTTTTCGTTACAATACCTTAGAGGCAGAATAAACCCAGAAATGAAGGGCAAGCTTTATCAACTGTCGTTTTTGGGATATTTTGGTTGATTTTTGCAGATGAGAACGGTTAATGTGTTTATCTGTGTGTTGTGTTTCTATTTAGGTCCCTAAACCCTACAGATCCCTTCATCTGCTCTTTAGAGGATAAATATCTTAATAACATTCTGAATAATCTTCCCACACCCTGGACAAGGAGCCTGAAACTTATGCAGCCTCCGTGCACATGGGAAACAAGTGAGCAGGTGAGCCGTTCGCCCGTGGATAATGTTTCCGTTACGAGGACGCACTCGACACAGCTTGCAGGGCTCCCGCAGCGCCTCCGGCCGAACATCCTGGACCTCCATGCCCAGGCTTTCCTGGCTTTCCCCCTCTGAGAGCTGAGCCTCCCGGTGGAAGCCAGAAGGCATCGGCCCTTTGCCTTTGCCCATACCTGCTGTGGGAATGGGTCGGTCAGCTGTGGAGTGGGAGGGCAGGATGACGGGGTCAGACACCGTTCTGCTGCAGTCTGGGACGTCGATGCCGGCGTCGCTGTCGTCTTCTTCGTCGTGGGCAGAGAGAAGGCTACAGGCTGGGATGTCTGGGACAGAGAGAGAGTGAGCCAGCCGGGGAACGTCTTTGTACCAGTTTTTTCGGAGAGCCCAACAGCGAACGCAGTAGCGCTGCAGCGGTGTGTTGTATTTCCTGCACTCGGTGCACTGCCATGCGTCCTGAGGAAGGAGGCAGATACAAAGTCAAGTGTGTTTCTTTGACTTTTTGTTCAGCAAATGTAAAAACGCTGAACTGGCATGGAGATGCAAACCTGCGTGGAGATCTCTGTATCAGTGTCGTCACTCAAACACTGAGACTCTTCATCTGGTTCTTCTTGCATCTGGAAATACAGAAATAAATCAAGATCTAAAGGCTGATTTACACTCAGAAATCAGGTCGTCTAGGTGTGTCGCAGTGAATGCAAATGTGCCCCGCCCCTTACACAGACACTCTGCTGCACCTCTCCAGAGCTGTAGGTGACTGCAGACAGTGCTGCAGACAGGAGGCCTCTGAGTGGTCAAATCTACATCCGCTGTACACTATTCACATTTCCTGTTTGGTACCTTACTGCTTGTTTTGTTTGGATGACCGCCATTGTGGAAAACAACTCGTAAAGATGGACCAGCTAGAAAAGCGAGGTGCACGAGAACGCTGGGACCCTTTTTTCACCTGGATCCCCGATCTTTTTCGTCCTCATGTCCCTCCGCCGTCGCACTAACTTGCACCCACTTCCTCAAAGCCTCGGCGGTATCTAGATCCCAGCTAGTTCATGATTGTTCTTGTTGTGTTGTGGCATGGAATCAAAAACATCTGCAACAAGCTCACTGCGACACTGCTGCGGGAGTATAAGCAGCCCTCAACTCTTCTGCTGTTTCTTCCATTTTCATATGTTAGTGTCATAAAATAATTTGCATTTCCCTCTATCTTGTGTTCTTATCAGTTTCCCTGCTTTAAAAAAAAAAAAGACATCCAGCCTGTTGCTTGCAGATGCCATCTAAGAAAACATCTCAAGATGAAAACCTTTAAAAAAAAATCCTCTTGTGACTAATTGGATAAATAAAATGTTGGATTAATGGAATTAAAGAGTCGATCTTAGGCTAAAATGAGGAATGGGTCGGTAGGGTGTTGATTTGGGCTCTGCTCCCTTTACAATTCAAAATTATTTCTGACTTCACTACGGCTAATAAAACTGGTTAGTGGCACAAAAATTACATGACTTTAAAAAAAGAAAGAAAACTGATTTTTAATAAAAGATCTATCAGAGGAAATTTGTCCTTTTTAAATAATCACTGCTATTTCATATTTAAGGTTTAAAACCAAGGGGGGGAAAAAACTTGCAAAAAGAGATGTAATACATTTTTAATCAGTGGCTGAAATTTGTGAAAATTATTTACATTTTTTTAATCTCCACTTGAAAAGCTAAAAAACAAATATTGCTGATATATTTAGTCAATATATTTTCCATAATCCAGTTAGTGAATAGGAAAAAACTAAAACCTGCATTTATTATTATTTCTTTTCAAAAGAAAAAAAACAGCTTTTTATCATGTTTTAGTCAAAGCGATGAAGCGACAGTGTGGGATTTCTAAAGATCCACAGGTGGAAGAATCCTAGTCTACAGAGAATGTTCCATTACCTCTTTGTCTGATTTTTCCTCCTTTCCTCCATAGTCATCATCCAGAGAACCTTCTTCTCCTCCACTTCCCTCTTCCAAGGCAGCTTCCTTCATCTCCACGCTAACCTGTTCGCTCTCTCCCTCTGTCAGAATCCACAAGTCCTCTGTGGTGTCTGAAACGATGGCCGTGTCCTCCTCCTGTGCAAGAGAAAGCTGATTCATCAGTCAGACTACCACCCACTGCCAGATAAGATTAGTCGTCAGATATGCAATAAACATAAAGAACAGGGTCTATACAGGAATGAGTCACTCAAATTCAATGCTTTTTAATGCTCTTAGAAATAAGTTTAATTCCATCAACAAGTACCCATGACTCTCATATATATATATATATATATGGCTGCAGCCATGTCCCGAATACCTTGTTTTCCAGCCACTTTTGCTGAAATTTGAATTTTTTCCCCATTCTCTAGCTTTTTCTCCACCTTGAGCTTCTTTTTCCCCAAACATACGTTATTTTCTAAGTTTAGTAGAAGTATTAATATGGGCAGTTACAGATCTAGCGCCCCCAGTGGCCATAAGTTACACGGCGTGCCTTTAATTTAGTTAATAAAACGCTTTTATGCAGTTACTGCTCTCTCACATGTAGATAGTAATGTTGTGAATGAACCTTATATCTTGAACACGACTTCAAAACTTTAAATATGGATGCTGTTCTGAAGTCTTGATCTTAAAAATGTAGGTTTCACAAAAAAAAGAAAAAACATACACACAAAAATATACATCAACCGTAATGAACACATATCTTAATAGAAGCTTTGGCTTTATCGCCCGGCCCTAATCTGGACGTTTTGATCAACATGTATCAGTTAAATATCAAATCCCACATTTTAGAGACAGAACACAGCTTGTCGAAGACATAAATATCATGTTAGGGAATTGTTTTTAATTTACTGCTTGGGGAAAAAAAAAAGGTTTTTTAGTTTCCAAATAAAAAAACAACAAGATTTTTATTTTATTTTTCAACTGTCCTTAATATTGGACATGTTTTCTTCTCAGGAATTATTATTCAACATAAATTTTAAGTGCTAAGCCAATTTATCAAGTTGAGAAATGCTGGGAAGCTTTTCCTGCACATTTCTTTGAGTTTTCTTACTTGGTTTGTATGGATGTCAGTGGAGCCATTGCTCCTGCGGCTGTAGTCGTTACGGAGATTACCCAGAAACCACCAGGGCAGACCAGAGAGGTCCCACTCTTCCAGACTGACGTCAAGTTTGGGCCGTTTGCAGGCTGATCGTGGGAGGCCGTCCAGGGACTCTGCAGAGGTTTTGAACAGTTGAATTCTGCTTTCTGAGGTGGCTCCAGCTGAAGCGTTCTGATGCCGCTCACTCACCGTCGTCTGGATCACGAGGTCGTCTTTGAGAGGGGGTCGGCAGAAGAGGCCCATCGCTTCTGGCCGCCACTCCTGCTTTAACCACACTCTCACACATCTAAATAGGAGAAAAACATGGGGGGGGGGAGACATTATACCACAGAACGATAACTGGATACTTGGAGGTATCACAGCTCCTTTTCAAGATTGGCCTTAAATAATGGAGAGGTGGTGCAAAAAGGCGTAAGGCAGGGGATTTAGGAAGAAACCAGAAAAGGCTTTATTCATTATTTGAATTAATCCCTGAATTAAAGCAGTAATTGTTAGAAGAAAGAAGGTGAAAAACCCAGGGCACTAATTAAAATATCAATAAACATCTTTCTATTGCTCTAGCAGCACTGCTTGCCATTTGTAGTTATTGTTCTCATTTAAATGTATATCTTAAGTTTTGCAACGATACCGATACCAGTATCCAGGCCCCGATCCAGCACTAAAACGGCAGCATCGGCGAGCACCAACAAATAGGGCACCAAGATGTTTGAATGTCACTTGTAGTATGCAGTTCTTCATATATACACACACATCAATTTCAAACAGATGGTATCGGTATGGGCCAATACGGCACAGTAGAGTTTGGTTTTGATAAGATTTTCAAGATTCCGATTCCCTTATCGATTCCCTTATCGATTCTCTTATCGATTGCGTTTAATGAATAAGCATTACTGTACAATTTCCTGAAATAAACTCATCTCCCCCTGATTTAAATAAACAAGCGTCACCTTTCTCTCGCTCCCAGAACTGCGGAGCAACTTTGTTGCATGTCTAATAACTCCAAAGAGAGGTAGGAAATTGGTTTATTTCCAGAAATGGCATATAATTTACTAGAAAACAACAATAAGCACAGCCAGTGATATAAAACTAGCTACTTGCAACCAGAGTTGCCTTCCATGCTGGTTGTAACTTTAGCTTCTGTCCAGAAGCATTAAAAACATGGCATTCATTAAAATGTATGCCATGTTGTGAACCCAGGTGTTTCTGCATGTTGGACTCATTTCCTCCCTTGGATTCAATTGCCACTTCGCAATGATTGCAAAGCACCTTGTTGCCATCTTTCTCTTCCTTAAAATGAAGCCAAGCTTTTGATTGCTTTAACCTCTTTTGTTTTGCTTTTCTAGACTTACGCCTGGTCACGTCATACTTGCTTACTGAATGCCATGAGCGTAACTTGCGTAAAAATCATGATGCAAGTTGTGCTGCCCAGCGCTAGGCTCTGGTGCTGCCTGGAATCGTTAAGAGAATCATTAAGCGAGCTGCCAAACAGTTCTTATGAATTGGAACACATTGAACCGGTTCTGAACAGGAACCGGTTTTCGATTCCCATCCCTACTGCACAGCCAGGTATCGGTATCAGGGGCAAAAAAATGGCATTGGTGTAAAACTAATATTCTTCTACAGAAACAGGACAGACATTGAACAGCAACAAATTTCTGATAAAGTTAGAAAAAAAAAAAGACATTCATAGGGGGTAAAAAATGTCTGCATGGTTTAGCTGCATGAAAATAGAGAAGCCATAAGAAACCCCTTCCAAACATATTCAAGTTTGATCAAACCATGCAGCAACTCCAAATAGATAAATCCCTTTAGTTGTGCAACTAAAAGAAGGTGACCTCAGAGTAATAAAGAAGTAGGGAAAAGGATTTAAATGAGATTTGATGGAGAACAGATAGAAGGTCAAACAGGAGCAGGTGGGCAGATGAATAGGTTTCGGGGTATTAGGCCTGTGACTGATTAGGAGCTGAGATCCTCCAAACTGAAGCAGAGAAGAGAACTCTGAGACAGACAGAGACAGTGACTCTGCCCCGCCCCATCCACTGGGTGGAGCTGGTGGGTCACAAAAACAGTGATGGAAAAAACCCCACCAAACCAAACCAAGGATGGGGTGTACAGAGACGGTGCCACTCTGTACAGATGTACACCAAACGAAGACAGCAGACCGTTTCTCACCTGCCTCAGTGCACACAAGCAGAAGGAAATCCCTTTTAATTTAACTCAAATAGTAAAAGGCAATATTTTAGAAATCATCTTGTTAAAAAAAATTGGAACATCTGTGCAGAAATTCTGCAATTCAATTGGCTCTTGCTTGTGAGTGTTGTGTGCAGTGAGGTGGATAAAGTCTAAGGGTCTCTGTTTCTCCTGAGCACCATGCTTCGGCTTTACCTGACCACGATCCTCCACTCCGCCATCTACACACTCACGGCCCACAGAAAGATTCTCTGCAGCATCTGCATTTCAGATGAGACATAGTAACAGACAAAAGGACATCCCCCCTTTTAATTATACCAGAATACACTCTCTCTCACTACGGCCTTTAGACATGTGGAGTCTCTTTGCTGGATTGGAAAGGCTGGAAGCTCCTCTTCTCGGCCAGAGGAAAAAAGAAACACTCTATCTCCTCATATGTTGTTAAAGCTCAAATGTGCTTACTCTCTTTTTCCAGGAGGAAACAATATTTACAATCTAAAAGTTCCCAGATATACTCTTGCAAGTAAAACAGGAGTCCATTAAAAAGAATAAAATGACAAAGAATTACAGATTTTCATTTAATGCAGTGGAATGTAAAAAACAAGTTGCAGCAAGCCAACTTCCCTATTCATTTATATATATATATTTTAAATCAGATTAAGCCACTAGATAAAGTAAAAACTTACCACAGCCAAGCACAATGAGGTACTTCTTCAGCATTTCATACACCGGGCTGCAAAATCACATTTAGGATTAGCTTCTGTCAAATTGTAAACAGCTTTTCATGCACGTATAGGCGACAATAAATACCTCGGATTTTTGACAGAGAAGCTTTCAACTTCCAGAAGCTCCCCCAGAGGATCATCCTGGCAGTGGACTATGTGCTGCCGTTGCTTGTCATATAGCTGCCTCCCCATGATGTACTGACCCAGATAGTGCATCACCTGAACAAGTTAAAAGGAAAACACCTGTCGATTTTTTTCCCCCTTTTTTAAATAATCAGATGTTCAAAGTGGATAAAACCTAAACTTACAGCTGGGTATTAATTTAAAGTCATAGGGAAACGGGCGTTCTAACATTGCATTTCCGAATTCTCCCGAGTGGTGCACGACTTTACACAAGTGAATAAAGTGAATGTGATCGGTCGTACATCAAGAGGGCGGGATTGTTGTGGTGGAAGGTTTGTAGCAAGTTTGATTGTGGCCGGTTTGTCGGAAGCATCTTGCTAACCAGTTAGCAACTTAGCGCTAGTAGGTTCCCAATGGGAAATTCCATTGGGACCAAGTAGCACTAAATTGGTGACTTAGAAACGACACTGTCAAGGAATGTATGGACAGCGGAAACATGCAAGAGGAGGAGAGTTTTGTGTCGGAGGTCGCGGATGAGTCTCCTCCGCATCCATTTTTTATTTAGAGGAGGAAAGCGGGGACAAAGTTGTTGTGGAAGAGGACGCCAGGGCGGCAGAAGCTTGGTTTGGTGTAGAAGGCATCCAGCCGTACATGTTTGAGCCCTTGCCTCGCAACGCTGCCAGTTCTGTTAGCTCTACGCCTGCTGAAGACACAGACGTCCATCCCCATGAACACTGGGATGTTGGTAAAGTAAATGATTGTTATTTCTTATTTCATCCATTGCATACATTAGCTGCAATATATTAATCAAGATGCTATGACCGAATGATGACTGTTGATAAATGATTGGCCCAATTTAGGTGTACAAGCTGACGTATAACTAACTGGCCTGCTTAAGATGATGGAAAAAAAAAAAACAGATTTTAAGACAGGATTTTTAACGTTTAAGAACAATGTGGTCTGATAAAGAGAACATTTATATACATGTTTAAGCCACATTTGACATTTAAATATGGTTTCCCTACGACTTTAAAGAATTCAAGATTTAGAATCGATTCTTTTCCAACAGATCTGAATTGATCTCAAACTTGATCGCTGGTATTACATTTTTTTTTTTGGCTCTATAGGTTTGCAACATATTGATAGTAGCATTATATTGACATTCTAAGCTATGGTAGTTGATCGTGTCAGCGAAAAAAGCTATAATTTCATCAGTTTTTGGTTATATGACTCGATCTTTAGAAATAAACGAGAATCAATTCAGATTCAGAAACTTGATTCTTTATTCACAGCCCTACTTCAAATTGCTTCTAGACCAACTCCATTCTAACTGTAATAGTAAAATCAACCAGCTAATCTGGATTTATGGCAATCCAAGACAGCAGGAGCTGCTGTAGATACTATTAGCCCTATAAACCATCACCAATTCCCCTTTAACAGAAAATTAAATACACTAAATTATTTCTGGTTACCAGCTCCTTAAAAAGGAATAAATAAACAAACCCTTTCGATAAGTAAACACAGAATTTGCACCTCATGGAATGCAGTCTGCATATTGATTAAGCATCCAAAGCCTTGTTTATCTCTGGATATTAATCTTTAAAGCAATGAATTTCCCGATCCGATGCATCGACACGTCTGCAAGATTATTTTATATCCATTTGCTCCTGGATGTAATTCTGACTACCATGCTGCGGTGGTGCTAAACCTATTTTGCCCTCCTACCTTGCTTCCTTTAGCCACTACCCGCTTTCTGCTTGCAGTATTTTTTGATGCAAGGCCTTTTAGACTATATAACAAAGGCATTATTATTTTTCATGGAATGAGGGTTTCATAGGCATAGGTGGAGTACAACTTTGCTACTTCTGTTATTTGCTGTCGTTTCTCAAATAAAATGCATAACGATATTACAGCTTTCATTGATTTATTTGAAATTTAAAACATTATCTAGCCTGTATGGTAAAAATAAATAAACAATGAATCGAAGTGTATTCTTGAATATTGAAAATAATCGACTGGTTGGGTCTGGAAATTTATACTGAATCGAATCGCCATGATGGGTGTGATTTACAACCCTTTCAGGAATGTGCAGGGCAGCTGGGTCCTCACTGTTGCAGAAGGAATGTTGACACACCTACAACATAATGCAACCCAAACTGTCCCAAAAAGAAACTGAGTTTCTATCGATTTAAATTCAAATACCCACTCCTTTTAAATAATTATTCACATCTGATCAGGCGGCTCACCTCTTTGAGAGTGAATACATCCTCCTTTGCTCCAGCCACACGCAAGATCTGCAGAAGAGGTGCTTTAGGTTTCATCTAAACAAGAGAACAAAGGGTTGCTTTAGTATGAGTTTAACAATAACTAAACTATATGATGTCAGGATTTCATTATTTGTACCTGATTACCCTCTCCTGGAAGCGTCCTGCATGACGAGCTTGAAGCCTGAGGCTGGGCCGACAGGGAGCTCATAGTAAAACAGCTAAACCTGAAACAAAATGTAACCATGGGCATGTATACCTGCAACTTCAGACAATTCTACCACATTATACACCATCAATATAATCATTTTATATAATAAACCCTGTTTCAGTGCCCTACTTTTAGACATCAGCGTGGAAAGCATCGTTTCACCATCTAACCCATCATTGTCTTTTGCAGGCCGCAGTATTAAACAAACAACAAAAACCGTATATAGAAGGAAAATATTACACTACTTAAGCGCCTCTATAAACCGGAGAGCTGAATGACATCAATTGATTCTTTTCTACCTTTAGCATCAGCCGTAGCTGCTACGCTAATCATTAGCTGTGTAGGCGGCTAACTACTGATAAAACAAATACCTTCAACACAAATATCTCACCGTTTGGAGTCCGCATTACTTCACATCTTCTTCATTAGTTTATTTCCAGACGGCCGCCTTAAACAGCTAGTCCATTCAATTGAACAGCAATTATATTTGACGAGTGTTTAACGCTAGCTAGTGCTAAATAAAAGTGACGGTTAATGAACTTCTGCTTTAAAATGAAGTTTAACTTCCGGCCACGTAGATGGGATGTAGCGCCCTCTGCTGTTCAAAATAAGGTTTTGCACAGCAAAAAAACTCAAAATAAGGTTTTGCACAGCAAAAAAACTCAAAATATTTGGGGGAATATTTTGCCAAATTAAATCGTTTCAAATTTATCTAGTCATCCTCTGTTATCCCAACGTAGAAAAAAATTCTTTAGAAACACTTCTTTCTTTGACACAAATTTATAATGATAATTTTCCCCTCTTAAATGCATTATTTAGAATAATAAATACATTTCTTACAAAAATAAGTCAATATTCAGCTATATGAGGAAAATTGATGAGTACAAAGCAGGGCTTGATGTTAACCATTGCCTGATCTCCCGGGGCAAGTAGTTTTTATTGTCGGGAGAGTACAAATTTAATTGCATTTGCCCGCCGGGCAAGAACAATGATCGCAAAAAAAAAAAAAATTATCATTCAAAATTACTTTAAAATCACCGCCATTCGATGAAAACGACCCAGAAGCGTTGCCGGCGCCATTTTTGTTGTTTTGTACACATTCTCGCGTGATTTGAAAAAGTCGCATATTTTGACAAAGCCTGGCAATTTTCCGCCAGATGGCGTGATTTTTTAGCCTGATGTAGTCCTACTCAATTCTAGTCAGAATATGATGCTCCATAGAGCTGTGATTATGGGGCGTGTTTCGAACGAACCAGGAAAAAAAAAATGCCTCTGCACTCAATTGGATAGACCTACAACCAATAAGAGGAACGGAGAGCGTGACGTATGTTAAGCGACCAAGGGAGCCAGCTGATAAATTAAACTTTTGCCGAATCCCGTAGGAAGGACGCCAAAAACATCTTTCTTTTCAACAAATGCCTTGATCGCGTTTCTCTGTTCCTCCTTTAAAATTAATTTGCTGTCGATATCTTCTAGAACAGACCTAATAGCAGAATCTACACACCTCAACTCTCCAGTGGCAGCCATTGTTGTTGTCACCCATGCGCGCTTTGGTCACGTGGTTGATTATGTTCCTGTTAATCATCTGTCCATCATCGTATAAAGCCCACCCTAACAATTTGATTGGCCCGCCAGATATTGTGCGAGCATACTCCCGCTACTATTGAGCAATGCCAGACCGAACTTCCCGACCTCAAACCTTGTGGGCGGGACTACGTTCGGACTGGCACCCAGGCTAGTGATTTTTGTCCACCTAGCGGTAATTTAGATGTAGTTACCAACACGACAAACAAGCTAGAAAGCGCTATCATATGGCAGTCTTCTCTACAGTGATGCAGGTCATACATTAAAAAATGTTAATGACATTTTTTTCTCTTAGACATTGGAGAGGTGCATTTAAATGTTATAGAGCTGAACATGTTAAATTGGTGACCTGTTATGTTATTATTATTGTCTTGTTGCTGCATTTATTTTGTCAGGGAAAACTAATCCTGAGTCAGTTAAAAGTCAGGGAATGCTGAAATTATGTAAGACTGTGGAAACTCTGTATAAAATAACTGTATAATGATTCACTAGAAAAGTCACAATTTATTAATAGTATTATCTTGTATAAACATACCGTGACTCTAAAATAAAAGTTTCATTTGTGATATTCACTTCTGATTTATCTTAAGTTTTTAACCTGTCTAGTTTTTTTTTTAGATTTTTAACATTACAATTTATATTTTTCCAAGCACAAAACAGTTTAAAGCAAAGTTTAGTTTGAAAAGAATGTGCAGGAAGGATTGAAAAGCATGTTAACATGGTAATGTAGGCTTGAGTTCATTATCTGATGCATGCAGATACACACCAGGAACCTGTAAACTTAAAAAATACTGAATTACAAAAAACATTTAAAAAACAAACGTATTTCATTGATAAATATACAAAAATGAATATTTGGAACTATATTTATCAAACATTATACTGGGCAAGTAAAAAAATGTTTCTGGGCAAATGGTAAAAATCCTTAACGTCAACCCCTGCAGAGTCTGAATTATTTAATCTCAAATATGACCTTGCTTTAACTTCTAAAGAGCATAATGTTGTGTTTGGTACTTTAACAAATTAAATATGTGAACTTTTTAAAGATTGTGAATTTTTTGAAAGTAAGTCAAGGCTTTTTTTCCCTTTTTTAGCAAAGGGATGTGATTAGTGTAACTCCAGCATTTTTCTGTCAGATGAACTTTGTACGGGATCCACAGTGGAAGCAAATATGAACAAATCTGATCAGACGCTTTTGATAAAAAACAAAATAAGAGATTTTTCTATTAAACTGTTGCACAGGATTATATACTGTACATTCTGCAAAGATCATCCAGAAACAATCAATCATTTATATTGAAAAGTAACAAGAAAATTTTGGAAGTAATGTTAAAACTTTATTAGTCCACCCATCTTCTATCAATTATTCCATGGGGTGGAATAATTGAAACCAATTAATTATTATTATTCATTTAACTTTTTTTTTTCAATCTTCATGTTTACTCATCACCATTTAACTTCACACAAACGTTCTAACCTGTAAACAAACCACTCTTGAGCTGTGTAATTAAAATGTTTTAATCAGTTATGGGTCTTGATTGTTATTTTATTATAGTTTAGTAGCAACCCAAACAATTAAAAATACTCCTTTTTTATAAGAGATTTCTCAACTTGTACAATTCCTAAACTGCTAATATTGGAAACAGCCGACAGAGGCCATGCAGGATGATGCAGATGATAAAATATGAGAGTTAAGTATTCTTCGCCTGAGTAAATGAAGTTTAAATGCCCAAAAAGGAATTACCCCTTAAAAAATAAATGTTTTCCTACAAAACTTCTTACTATTGTTGTAAAAAATAAATAAATAAATAAATATAAACACAATGAAACGTAACTAAAATATCTGAGTGACATCCTGCAGTCTGTCTGGTGTGCACACAACAACAATTGATTGGCTAAGCTGATGTCTTTAGGGGAATTGGTTGAGTGTGCAGCAAAGAAGTTTTATAGTTATGCAAATCTCTTTGACTTTGATTGATTCAGGTTGTCCAGATGAAGCTAACCTATTAAAAGATTACAGGTATGTCTTGAAGACACAAAAACCTTTCTCCTTCTGAATGCAGACAAAACAGAACTTATAGTCTTTGAAAAATAAGCTGATTAGTCAGTCACCTTATTTGGATGGATATAATTGATCTCACGTAATAAAGTAAAAACTCTTGGTGTTATTATTTCTGACCAGGACCTGTCATTTAAATTCCATATCAAAGAGGTTTGTAGAATTTCCTTCTTTCATCTGCAGAATATTGCAAAAATTAGAAATATCCTTTCCAGGGGTGATGCTGAAAAACTAGTCCATAAATGTGTTACTTCAAGGCTGGACTAAAAGCCTTTAGCTGACCCAAAATGCTGCAGCCAGAGTTCTGATGAAAATTAAAAAGAGAGATCATATCTCTAATATCCTGGCTTCTCTTCATCGGCTTCCTGTTAAATCCAGAATAGAATTTAAAATCTTCGTTCTCACATATAAAGCCTTCAATGGCCAAGCTCAATCTTATATCAGAGCTCTAATTGTTCCTTATGTTCCTAACAGAGCACTTCACTCTCAATCTGCAGTTTTACTAGTGGTTCCTAGAATTTCTAAAAATAGAATGGGAGGCAGATCTTTTAGTTATCAGGCTCCTCTCCTGTGGAACCAACTACCAGTTTTAGTCCATGAGGCAGACACCCTGTCTACTTTTAAAATTAGGCTTAAAACGTTCCTTTTTGATAAAGCTCATAGTTAGAGTCGCTCAGGTTATCCTGAGCTATCTCTATAGTTATGCTGCTATAGGCTTAGACTGCAGGAGGACATAGGGACCCCTTTTTATCATTCTGCTTCATTTATCTCTATTCTCCTATTCTGCAGTATTTGTTAGTTCACTCGTTACAGTATGTTAATTCAAACATTACGCTATCACTGCTTTTTCTCATAGTAGCTTAATCTATTCTGGTCTTGTTTGGCCGTGACTTCATCCCGAGGAGAAATATTAGCTATGATGCTGCCATCAACACCTTTGTTTATAGATGAGGAAGCTTGGCCTGTTTTTCAGTGTAGTTCCGTTATCTGACTGTGACTAACTATATGTGCTCTCTTTCACCCTCTGACGTGGGAGCTGGCTCAGAATGAAGTAGTTACTTTTATAGAGGAGACTCAGATGAATACCTGTAGATATCACAAGTGTGTGATTCACAGGGTTAGTCAGCGACAGGCGTGTTATTGTTGCTAAAGAATGCAAGTCTCCTTGTAAAGGTTAAGATTTGCTTCATAAATAAAGTTGGTATGGTATGGTAAGATTTAAAAACCTCCTCTACAGATCTTTTACTAATCTTCAAGCTTTATGAGCTTTATCAAATTTAAGTCAAATCAAAAACATTTATACATACAACTCTTTATCTACTTTACATTGTAAATGTTATCCAGAATGAAACTTTTTGGTCTACAATAACACTACAGGTCACCCCAGAGCAGCACAAAATTAAAAATCCCTTTGGCGATATCATTGGGACACACTACAAATATTAGCAATCACTCTGTGTTTTCTTTGCGCTTTTCTTCCTTTTCCTTTACTACCGTATTTTGTTTCCCAAAGGAAATCTACGCAGCCTTTTGGATCTTGAGAACTATTAAATATATTTGATAGGAAGTCTTACAGTATATAGTATATATTATGTTAACAAACAAAGCTTCAGAAACACACCATCCCCTGAGTGAAGCTTAATGATAAACATATTTTTACTTAATGCATAGGGAACTTGTCAAAATGTGTTGCTAAATTTGTTATAAAAAATCTGTTGCTAAAATGTTAAATTGGATATGTAGTAAGTTTAAGTAATACATATAAATTCCTAGTCATGCCTTTTTTAACCTGTTCTATGCATTTGCAAGTAAAAGCAGGCAGACATTTATGCTCTAGATGTGTAAACCAGGCGGAGAAAGGACATCAGACTCAGCTGGGATTGTGTTTAAATTTGGTTTCACAAAATATTGATTCATGG